TTGCCAATTAAACTAGCGTCATTTCAACTACTACGCACATACATATGCATTATAAATATTACTGTTGTCTTTATTTTCTTCATTTTGCTCTTTACAATACTTTATTTTCCATTAAAAACTACATTTACACATAAAAAGSTGTATTTTGTGGGCGAAAATAAATTGCTACACGCACAATAATGAATTTTCAATGCATAAACGCTAAAATTTTTAAACATATATTTAGTAAACACGCATTATAAAATGCTAATTTTTCTTCTTGTTGCATTACTTTGTTGGTTGCAAAAATTAAACTATTTACAATAAACTATTTGCATATTTTTGCAAAAAAAAACAACCAATTAAATAAATACAATTAATGTGAAAAAATTTCTAAATTTACACTTATGCTTGCCTACAATTAAAATAAATTAAATATACAAATAAATAATTAACAGTTATTAATAAATTTTAATTTGTTCATGTTGCTTAGTGTTTTTCATATAATTTTTGATACATTTTTTTCTGATAACAGTGAAGCGTATTTAAGTTTTTTCTTTTTACTTTGCAATATTTGCTTTTCTTAGACTAACTTTTTTTGTTTTTTTTTTGGAATTTTTACTTTTGGTTTCTTTGCACACAATTAGAGTGGATGAGTAAATATTTTCTTTAATATGCTTTTTTTTAATACAATAAATATTTTTTAAGCATTTTTATGTATTGAGAAAATGCGAAAATTCACTACAAAATATACTGAATTTTATAAATACAACAAATACAATAACTAAACCGCACGCTACTAGAATGCAAAGAAACTTTTGCCATTTCGCTCGCTGCGACATTTAATACCACTGTCCGTTTAAAAAATAGAAGAGAAATTTATAAACGTCTACTTGACGACTTTCGCTCGACGGAATCCTCTGCGGTTCGGACCAAATGTTTCTGTCAATATTTTGCATAAATTCTCAGCGCTTGCCTACGCTCCCTTACGCACTTGCATGTTTTGCTAATTTTTCATGTATGTCGCATGTGTGTGTGTGCTTGCGCTCAGTATGTGTGTGTGTGTGTGTGTTTCATAACGGCCTAATTTCCTTTTCACTATTTTTTTTACTTTTAGCTAACTTTCCTGTAATCATTAGTTTCATTTTCACCTCGCCAGCATATTGTACAATATATGAACCTGTCATATATGTATGTATGTATGTGTACATATGCATGCATATAACGCTTTATATGCATGTATGTGTGTATATATGTATGTATATGTGTTTCTTAATATTTATAGCTAAATAATACATAATTATTCTTTTATTGTTGTAATCTCATATTGTTTTTGTTTTTGTTTTTGCATATACTGTTCAGAAACACGCTGCCCTTAAAACACTAATACGGATTCCATCGTAATTGTATCTCATTTGTTGTTTGTCTGTGCATTTGACGCCGTTGTGGCTTGAATTTGTGATGCGGTTTGCGATGCCGACTCCAGTGTGCGACGTGCCAGTCTTGACCTGAAGTGAAGAAAAGAAAAAAATCGTTTAAAAATTGTAAAAAAAAAAAATTATAAACGATAAAAATGGATACAAATAAAAATTAATGAAAAAACAATATTTTTAGCATGCTTTTAGGCGTTTTGACTTTGCAGTAAACAGAAAGTTTAAAAGTATTAAATTACTCTCGTCAATTTATTGGCAAACTAAAATGAAGAAATCGAAAAATAGTTTCAAACTTTGAAAAGATGTGTAAAATTAGCATACCCACAGGCGCTATATACATATGTGTCTAAAATGCCTTTATATGAATACCTGAGACCTTATATGAGTTAATGAATATTTATTTATATGAAATTTTTAAAGAAAAGTAAGCATAAGTTGCACAAAACACAGTTGGAAGTAAATTGTAAAAAATAKTTAGCATACTTTTAAGCGCTTTGACTTTTTAGTTCGCAGATTACCTAAATTATTAAATTACTATCGTCAATTAGTTAGATAAAAAAAATAAAGAAATGAAAAACTAGTTTCAAAATCCGACAAAATTTTGTAAATTAGCCTACCCACAGGCGCTATTCATCTAAAGTGCCTACATTCGCATTCAAGCATACTTATTTGACTATTTAAATATTCATAAATTTTAATTTTAAAATTTAAGCATCAGTTGTACAAAACACAGTTAATTGTAAAAAATATTTAGTGAACTCGCAGGCGCTTATCACTTAAATTTCTTCATGTAAGTTAATTAATAGTTATTTACTTGAGTTTCTTAAAGAAAAAATGCGAGTATGTGTAAAAAAAATGCACARAACTCAGTAAGAAGCAATTTATGACAAAAACTTAACATACATGCAGGCGCTTTCCGACTAAAATATCATTATATGACCATATTTTTGATTGATTTCCTCATTAATTTTGTAAAGTTATTGAAGAACTGTTGAAAAAACATATTTAAGTACCCAGTTTGGGGTTTATAAAAAAATATTTTGCATACCCACAGGCGCTTTTCATTTCACTTGCTATGCGTATGTGAATTAATGCTTATTTACTAGATTTTCTTAAAGAAAAATTCGGAGTGAGTGTGAAAAAAATGCACACCTGAGTAAGGAGAAATTGACGTGATTTATAAAAAAATGCGTGGCAGGCGCGATCCCTTAAAATATCGTTATTTGAYTGCTTTAATTATTACTTTCGCAAATTTATTGCAGAAAAAAAGGAACAGTGGAAAATAACATATTTCAGCAATCAGTTTGAAATTTACAAAAAAAAATTTAGCATACCCATAGGCGCTTAATGCTCTGTATTTTACTTCCCATCACAATAATTTATGTAAATTTATTTGGAAAACACATTGTATTTATTATTAAACAAATTAGGATTTTTTTGCAAACTTTACTCACTTTATCTGTCCAGCCAGTAGCGGATTTATGGCGTATAGCCAATCGTGTACCTCCTTATCGCCCAACGTCTGCAGCAGATAACCACGATGTTTAGTGACCACACTGCAAGACAAAAAARAGTTAAGAAACAATTTTTTCACAAATAAGAATTTCTAAAAAAACCATTCTTCAAAAACTTAAATTTCCAAAAAATTTCGAAATTTTTTTTTTTTCAAAATTAAAATTTCCAAAAAAATATTTTTCAAAAACCAATTTTTTTTTTTTTTTTGATATTTTACCTAAATGTGTTGGGTATCTTAACCATCGCTGCCTGATCCTCACTGCACTCAACCTGTGCGGTCGCCAAGTTTAATACTGCACGTTCCACTGGATCCTTTTCGGATTTGTAGATGAAAACATAAGGGCGTCGCACAATCTAAACGAGAAAATATTAATTTTATTAAAAAAAGAAGACAGCCTTTTGTTTTTTGTCTATTGCACTTACCACCCAGCGCTTCTTCCAGCCCGAACCGCCATGCTCCAATACATTCAGCACACCCTTGCGCGCCACCACAGCGCTCACCCTAATCTCCTCCAACTCGGGTACGTACAAGCGTAGCGGTAATGCCGGTTGCGTAGCGGGTGCTGGCGCTTCCCAACCGTTGGGCGCATCAGCGCGATCGGGCGAACATAACCTGCAAATGGCGCAGCAAATTAACAATGAGCCGGAGTTTAGACAACGCGGTGGCATGAAGTATGTAAAACGGTGAGGTGAGAAKMGTACATTGAGAATTTGAAAAAGGTGGGGAAGAATGCATTWAAATTTACAAAAGTACGCATGAAACATTGATAGAATTATACAAAAGCAATTCGTATTTACTACCGTAGGTGAAATAAAGAGAGAGAGGACGACTTGTGGAGTATGTGAGTGGTGAGTCTAATTGTGTGTTAGTAATGCTTACGCTTAGTATACAAAATATATATGTGTGTTATRCTAATGTGTTAGTAAAGCACAAGTGTAAAGTTATTACTGCTCTTCTCGGAGGCGTAATTTTCAAACAATAGTACACTTTTTTGTTGGAAAAAGTGCTGATACTGAAGAAATCAATATAAATTCTTCGACCGCTTTTAAGTAAACGAACTTAGCTATGCAAAACTTCTTTATTCAGCTAATTCAGCTTTATGCCGCTAATTCAGCATATATATTTCTGCGCAAAAAATCGACTTAGGACTAATATCTACACTTAGTACTATATTTTAATTGAATTCAGCTTATTCTTTTACTGTTCTATGCCTTAAATTTAAGTACAATGCAACTTAAACAACAGTCAGCTAATTCAGCACATCCTATTATTAAATATTACGATATTTTACATATATATTGTGGAAACTATGCAGTTTAAAGCAATTCAGCTTCATTCGGATGATATTTTTTTATTTAACAACTAACTCAGCACGTCTATTAACAATTAATTATTCACATAATTGCAGTCAACATTTGTTTTTTGTCAATTCAGAGCTGGGAAAAAAAGATAGTTAGTTTCAGCAGGCTTTAACCCTCTAATAAAGCTTTTAAGTGTTGAGCACATTGAGAATTTCTTTTATTCGAATTGCACTATGGAGGTCTCATTGCTTTAATATAATATTTTGGTAATTCAGCGCTTAAAACACTATATTACCTTATATTTAGCAACCTAAAATCTGCTGTCACTGCTCTCTTGTACGAAATATATTGCGAGAAATTATACTGAGTAGTAATTATACTGCTTACTTTACATTCAGCAGTGCTTAGAACAGCATATTACCATATATTCAGCAAGCCTAAATCTCCTGACACGGCTCTTTTGTATAAAATACACTGAGAGGAGTTATACACGAATTTCGAAGTATTCAGAAGATTCTGGCATAGTTTAACTCGGTGATATGCGATTGTTCAACAGAAATATTTTTTCTAATTCTAGAAGAAATATTTTTCTCAATTCAATAACCATGTTATAGTGTAAATACTTGTATTCACCTAATTCAGCACCATACAATTTTTGATATTTGGCCATATAATATTTATTTAACTATATTTTCTTTAATTCAGCGCCTTTTAGTTTTAATAAAAACATATTCAGCGCATAATATTTAACAATATATAACTAGAAATAATGCTGAATAAACGAATTTCGTAGTATAACATAGACTCGAGCTCTATTTTACTCTAAGAAATCATTATATTGTGTAAATACTTTTATTCAGCTAATTCAGCACCATCAAATGTGTGATATCTGGGCAGATAATATTTAATAGTTAATAATTAATAATATTTTCTTTAATTCAGCGTCATAACATTTTTTATTAAGATATTCAGCGCATTATATTTAACTCTATACAACTGGAAATAATGCTGAACATACGAATTTCGTAGTTTTGCATATATGCCAGGGTTTTACTGGAAGGTTTGTTTGAAAACCATGCTTCATTTGATGAGAAAAAGCTTTAACCGTTAATGTGACAGTAAAAAAAATACAAAATTTCGAAAGCAAAGCAACAAAAAAATTCGTACAAATTCAAATTTGAAATAAATAAGAAAATTACCTTCGTCTAATTTTTGGTGTTGTTCTAATAAGTTGAAATTTGTTTTGAGTTGTACCAAATTAAGAGATTTACACACAAATATATAAAAAGAAAAAGAACACAAAAGCAGAGTAAAAATTTAGGTATCAGATAAATATTTTTGTTTAAATATTTTCGGCAAGAATTTTGTTTGTAAACAAAAATTTATAAACTCGTTTTCCTTTCTCAAGTAGAAAACTGAAAAGTGGGCAATCGCAAACAGCTGCCGGGTATTAGCAAACACTAACTCAAAATCGGACTACTTACTCGATAGAGTTGCTGGAGATGCAGCTAACGGTCATGTCGGCGCAGCCCTCATCACTCGGCGACACATCCGACTGTGTGGCTGGCTCTGCTGTGGGATCTGTTGCTTTGTTGTAGGTGCCTGCAGTGTGAGAGAAAAATGAGAATAACTGTATACAGTGACAACAACAGCACAGCGCTTACCCTGCACCAGCTTCAAGCACTTCATCATCAACTCCTGCTCTCTCTGATTGTACTCCCGTTCGGGCACAATCTGTTGTGGATCCTTGACGGGTGTCTGTGGTGATGGCGGTATGACCATATGTACCGGTGAGGTGGCGGCACGCGCTGCCAAATTACAGACGTCCTTCTCTGTTTTGGTTGTGGGATTTGGATTTGTATCCATGCCGAGGCGTTCGCGCAACAACAGCAAATGGCGTACACGYCCCACCTCCTCGAGGCGCGTCAACTTTTCCAACTCCCAYTGATGATCGAAAATGAGCGAATCGCCGCGTGGCCGCCAGCCAGAGAGATTCTCCTCGCCACGCACRTAAGTGGAACTSGTATCTAAGACGCGTCGCTGACGTCGTTGCACACCTTTTTCCGSCACACGTGAGAGAGGAAGAGAGAGAAATAAGCGCATTAGTTGTGAGTTTTTTGTGAGCGCGTAGCGAAAGCGGAACTTTYGAAGCTTCTCAACAGTTTATTCTAATTTATATAAAAAATTTGTTATAATGARCTATCGTATTCGATCGGATAATTGCATGATTAGCTGCTTCAAGCATTAAATGGTAAACAACGCTTTCGAACGGCAAATAACAAACAACCAACACTACGTTAAGAATTTCTACCTGGACTACCTGCTTCAGAGGCTCTACGCAACGACAACTCATACACGCCAGACAAACGRTTTGCTTCTGGATTGCGATACTGTCCAGAGAATAGATGTTTCAACGATCGTGGACCGGTGCGTGCATCGCGTCCATAAATGACCATGCTGAGGTCTTTGGTGATAATAGCAGGGCGCGCACAGTTCTCGAGCTGCAAAATAAATTAGATTAATATTAAAACCGCTTTCTGGCATATTCAGCTCTTATTCAGCACTTATTCAGCGCATTGCATATGTTTACGAAATCAATTTATAAATTTAAAATTACATAAATGTATGTAACATTACGAACCAATTCAGCTTATGCCACATTTTGTAAGTTCCGAGTTATTAATGATAGACTTGAAATTTATGATATTTYGGACAAGCTTTTATTTAATTAACAAAGCTAAGTGGTATCTCAGTTCATTCAGCGTAAATTCAGCGTGTACACCGCAATATAATTAACATAGAAAACTAATTTATGAGATTCCGCACTTATTCAATTAATCATTTTGTACATACTATAACAAAAAATTCGGCGTATAAGGATATTGAAGATGTTTCGTGCATTCAGCGCAAATTCAGCAAACATTATTTAGCATTTTTGCAATATTACCTACAATTCAAAATATTTCGAACAATAAAATTAATTATAAAATCAAGTTAACCAATTGTTTATTAATTCAGCAGAATTTGCACTTCTTATTATTGATTTAGTGCAAAATTGGGAAACATTTTTGCAATATTAATCCTTTTTTGGGAAAAAAAATCATTTTTAACCAATTGYTTGTTGATTCAGCGCAAATTCAGCAAATGTAAATTTTATATTTTTGTGTTTGAAAAAATATTATTCATTATTTAACATCTTTTTATAATGTCAATGTGCATATACATTATATGAACTTATTCAGCACCCATTCAGCAACTCACTTACAAGAGTTTGGGCTTGCTTTTATTTTTTAAATGGCTCTAGCACTCAAATTTTCACTCAAAACTTACCTCCAAATAAGCGCTCAAAGTAATGTAAATTGTCTCTCCAGCCTGTGTAACGCGATTCAGCAGAGTGGAATTGTGTAAGCTCGAATCCCAAGCAGCTTCGAAACGATAGAATGAACGGTCATCGCCGGGTACGTCCAAAGTTTCACCAGGGAACAAGCCCAACGACAAAACACACGAGTCCTCATCCAAGTCATCCGAAGATTCGGGCGTGTTGCGTATACGTCCAACGACGAGCTCACGTATATCGCGCCATTTCACTTCGGCTGTCGGTTCGTGTACAATAGTGATACGTATGCGACGTTGTATGCCCTGATGGAGTAGGAATAGACCACGGCATGGAAGATCGTCGCTATGCTCAACCACCTGTGGGGAAGGAAGGAAAACKAGTTGTAGAAAAAYATGCCTWGGCAGTAGAGCCGCCGAAAGTAATTACACATACCGATGGYACATATTCGCCATTCGGAGCCAATTCGCATATTTCAAACCAAACCAAGACGTCATGCTTTGCCAAAACTGTTGACGTCGATGGGCATGGTAGTGGTCCAAATTTGGGACTGCGCACCGGTTGGCTAATGGGAATGCTTGGTGGAAGCATGCGACGTGGYGGTGGTCGTGAGACAAAYTCTTGCTTGGCATCCTTATGTAAAGGATGTGTYTGGTAATGYCCGAARATYTTAAACATGATCGGTTGTGTCTTCAAATATTCAATGAACGATTTGGTAACTGGTACAGTTATCTATAAATCGAATGAGYACATATTAATAGAAGTATGCAATAGAAAAGACACTACAAGCGCTTACATTTTGCACATGGTAGAAGCCAAGTGGTGCGCCCGATGCGGAATTCTTGACCGGTTCGGTGGAGAAAGCCTCCTCATGACGATGCAAGAAGCTGCGCAATAAAAAATGTATGCAATTATTATAAAAGCACCCACACCCAACAGCACTTACTTGAACTGACAGAAAATATCAGCATATTCAGCGCCAATTCCTGTAGCTTGTAGTACGGTTACGCGGAATGTGAATTCCTTGCCGACCTGCAAATGCTCACCAGGCTCTTCATTGGCTTCCTGGCACTCAGAAGCTGAGTTTGAATCAATGCCACGTCCGGAATCAGCATCCTCAAGTTCTATTAAATTTGCATTTAGCAAAGTGAAGCACCAAATCGGTTTAGCTAGTGAATACACCTACCTTCAAGTTTGCTGTCCAAACCACCGTTATCGATATAACGCTGCACATCATCCTTCTCGTTCAGTGCGCGATACTTCGGCTTGGCATCATCTTCGTTGAAAACTAAGCGTGCCGAYTGCTTAACGCCATTGTTGAAGTCAATGGACTCCTCATCCTGCAAAAATGAGAACGAGAAAGCGTTAGTTAGTGTTTAAGCGCGCTTATGTCTAATTTTCAWATGTATTCACCAAAACTGGTTGCACCGCCACGCGCAAGTAGCCACGCACATCGCCACGTTCATTAACAATAGCCACCTTATGAACCAATGGCACCGGATATAGCAAGTTACTCAAATAGATGAACGAACGTCCGACCATACGGAACCAAGGAAAGCGGTCATAGAAGGGATCGCCGCCTGTAAGACTCTCCACATTGTAATCGGGTGAAGTAGGGCTCAGTTCAGCCTCGTTGTGATACATTTCGCGCATTAACTCCAAGCGTTGTCTAAAGACGACAATAGGAAGAGGAAATGGTACAGGTGGTTAATGTTGAGAGTGGTGTATTTTGGCAGAAAAACTTGATAAGCTGGTGCAATTTAGGCGAAAAAAGAGGAAAATTTAAAAATAAAATCTTCAGAATTTATGCAAATCAAATGAAACAACATTTAAGACCATTTTGGTAATGAGTTGCTGAGTATGAAGTCATGCATTATTAACTCAATCTTACTTTGGAAATATGACATTTAAATAGAGTTCACCAAATCTTTACTGAAAATTTCTTGATTGATTTAGATCACAAATGCTTTGACTACATTTCCGCGAAAGAATCACTGTTATTGTAGTTTTGTGCTGTAATTTATATAGAGTTGAACKTGTGGAACACTACAAATTGTATAGAAAACTAATTAATTGATATTCAGCAGCTCATGTTATGTCGTTCCTCAAAGGCACATTTATCTTTTACACACAGCAGAAAGGCATGTTTACGTATAATTAAAAAAAAAAATAATTATATAACTTATATTTTTGCGCAATAAGCAATTTATATCAAGAACATAAAAATACACTCAAAAAAATATATACTCAAAATAAGTATAAAATCATGCAAGAAATTAAACCAGACTGCAAATAATTCTTTTTTTTTTTTTTTTTTTTTTTTTTTTTTTATCTGCCCTCGAATAGAAAGTTTAGAGCTTTACTCCAAAGTATTTTTTTAAACAAATTCGAATTTCCTCTTCACCCAACTCTTTAAAAGCTCGAAATATTATGGATAAGTAGGYAGAAAGGCGATCATGACAGAATCGTGGTAAAGAAAATCAAAACCCAAAGAAACGAGCTACCTGGGAGCAAAACTGTAAAAATCATGTGCAACACGGTAGATCGTAAGCACGCAAATTTCCTATTCCCACTGGACAGAAGGGACTCTAGGAACATGATGGAAATGCTAACTGGTCCGGAAGTGAATACTAACTAGTCTGGTGGCGACACACGTCCCCAGTATGGAGCTRATAGRTCGAGAAGACTGAAGAATATGTCTARAGCAGAGCACCAGGGAAACRAGGAGCATCTATTGTGTACTTGTCCCGCATTGGAAAGACTACTCTGGGGTCCCCATTGTAATGATACACTGGAAGAGTATCTTACCGCCAGCGACTATTTCCTGTTTTCAGATCTCAAACGAATGCTCGCTAGGTAGCAAATTTTTGTCGAATTAAGAGGTGATCGCCGAAACTGCGGCTTATTTTAAAGCAAAGGACAAATCGTACTACAAAAATGGTATCGACAAGTTGGTCGTTATAATCAGTTATCACGCTTGAAAGGAACTAGATATGCATCACCTTTGAAGGGAGCCATTTATCTGTTTTACTTTGATAGGCCGGGGATTTTTCAATCGTGCTATTAMAATGTTGAACTTGTGGAACACATCAACCCGCAATATAATAAGAACAAATATGCAAAAAAATATCACTTGCGAAAGCTGTTGATACCATTAAATTCTTATATAACTGTTATTTGCGAGTTGGTACGAATGGTAGTTCCAACTTTRCATTAAAAACTGACCCACGAGGAGCTTCGCACTTCGTTAAGCTTAAGCTTTMCAAATATTACAAACTTAATTACAGCTTTTGATTAAAAGCTTGCCTTTCGGGAGCTTCCAACAACGTTGAAACACGAACTTAGACATAAGCACGAACTTTACGCCACAAATAAAATGCTTAACACAAAAACTCATRGATTTAAACACACATTATTAATTATAATTAAACAAAAAAACAAYAACAACAGAAAAAAGTTTAGCAAGCTTGAGCTTTCCATATATTACAAATTTAAAAATAAGGACCTCGTTGTAGCGAAAATGAAAGCAGACCTAGATGGCATTAAGTTAGCCAATGAAAGACGAGATGGTGAACTGCCAGCACCGGCTTTCTTCGGACTCGTGCGCACCGCCGACGAGAGGCTATCGCTTAAAGGTGCCAACAGCGACGACGACGATGATGTAGTGTTAACGTGATTTTGTATTTGTAATTGGGACTGTGGGTATGTGTGAGTATTGTCGGAATTATTTGGTGGCGGGTATGCGCCGTTATATGTAGTAACTGTAGTTGCGGTATACGGTATTATGCCATCGTAATGCAAAGCCTCGGCCGTAAGCACAGCGCTATCACCACACAGCGAGCTTGTGTCGTAAAGCATGGACGATGGTGGACTCTCCACATTGTAGATTTGGCGCATTAGCTCCAAGCGATAGCTGATGTGTTGTTGTTTACAATTTWTTATTATTATTTTTATTTTATTTTTTGTATTTGTTTTTGGTTGTTTGGTTAATTTGTAGGACAGTTAGGAATGTGGTGGGTTTGAGGGGTTAGGAGGTCGTACATGTGAGGTTAGGGCGAGCAGTTTGGAAAAATTACAAAAAATAAAAATGAAAAAATACACAAAATTTTGTTAGTAAAGCCTAGGCTATGTATGTATGTAGCTAAAATACTGTATAATTGTAGGTTATGAACAATGAAAAATGTTAGGTGAGTAAGTGATATGAGCGATATGAGTGTACGAGTGCTGTGCGCAGCGCTTATGGTGGTATAGACCTAAATATTACGGCAAATTTTACGAAATTTCGTTTACTCWTAAATTTGAAAGCTTTGAAAAAGTTTAGTAGCATTTAATTGTTTACGTTAGTTGCAACAGAAAAACCACCATGCACGTTCCAAAAATTATAATTTATTAAAAAAAATTMTTATATTTAATTTTACTTTGCATTGAACAAAAAGAAAAATTTTTTTTTTTGTAACAAAACAAATGTGCTGCTTTACCCCTGCACCAACTCATTGCAAATGCCTTTGAGGATCTAAATTTACAACAAAAAAATATAACCTTACKAAAAACAGTGTTGTATTTTCATTCCCACAAAAAAAAAGAAAAATTTTAATACCCAAAATAATGTTTGCGATTTTGAAAACTAAAATGYATGTGTGAAGACATAGAACAACTCACAAACTCGCTTCCGAAAAGACACAATTTCTTGCTGAAAATAACTCTACAGAAACTACAAATCAACTTACCGCAATTTCTCCAAGGACCAATAGTGTGTGGCGCCATTCTTGGTGTCGGTCACCTCTACAGCCACAATAGTCTTCGAAACTGGTGGCGCGCCAAACTCATCCTCGCTTTGCAATGGCGTAGCGGCTGAGGCCAGCTCAGGTGGTAGTGGTGAGTAGAGCGTGTCGGTGAGCAACGTGAATTGGAATTGCACCTGTTTTAGACGGATTTCAGTATATTAGARTTTTATAAAATAAAATATGTAAGCTTCGAACCTTCTTTTTCAACTCTACAGAGATGGCATTTGCCTCTTTCAAGAATATTGCATTGCCCCAGAGATCGTCGCGCAGCGAGGTGAATTGGTGGTAACGCCATTTGCGGAATGCCCAAGCAGCTAGGCCGGCTTCGCGTGCGGACCAGCAGGATTCATACAGTGGATTGGCTGAAACGAAAGGCAGAAAATAGTTTTAAGGACACTGGATAAAGGAGGTGTTAATGCTACCCATTGAATGTAGAGGGTAAAAGGGATAAAAGTGTTTTATAGAAAAAATAATAATTTTAAATTAAAAACAAAGAAAAGAAAACATAATTGTTCTTAATTAAAAATAAAAAACGCTAACTTCGGCCGTACCAAAGCTTTAATACCCTTCAGAGATTCACATTTTTATTAAAGGAAAACTTGTTTGTTCGTTCAAATTGTATGACAGCTGTGAGGTATAGTGCTCCGATCTGAACTATATGTTCGTAAATTGAAGTGTTACCTTGAACAATAATTCTTGTCGAAAATCGTGAAGTTATCTTGCAAAATAAAAAAATGTTTCCCTGGTAGAACTTGACTTTGATCGATCGGTTTGTATGGCAGCTATATGCTATAGTGAACCGACCAGAACAATTTCCTCGGAGATTGTACCATTGCCTTAGCGAATGATCCAAGCCAAATTTGATAAAGATATCTCGTTAAATACAAAAGTCTTCCAAGAAGAACTCAATTTTGATCGTACAGTTTGTATGGTAGCTATATTCTATAATTGTCCGATATCGGCGATTTCGTTAAATGAACAGCTTTTTGGGGAAAAAGGACGTGTGAAAAATTTCTAATTGATATCTCAAAATCTGAGGGACAACTTTGAGTATATGAATAATAGTTACATTATATTTTATATAAAAAAAATATTTAAAAATTTTGTGAAGACACATTTTCAAAAATTCCAAAAACGACAATTTTTGTTTAAAGAAAAAACTAAAATATAACTTAGTGCCGCATATAACGGAAACTTTCACAAGCGTAGGCATCACTTGCATAACATTGGAAAGAGAGCTCCTCAAGCTGAAAATAGCACGACAAACAGCACTATTACAACAGTAACTACTAAACTGTAGAAACTTTAAGTTGCGTGAAAGAGAAAATGTGAATCACGTTTGCCCACACTGAACACGCGCATATGACTTAAAATTTATAACGGTCCTGTGGCGCAATGGATAACGCGTCTGACTACGGATCAGAAGATTCCAGGTTCGACTCCTGGCAGGATCGCGACTAATATCTTTTTTTCTATTTTAAATTTATTTTAAATTTATTTTATTTTATTTTATTTTATTTTATTTTATTTAAAAGCAAATAATAAAATTTTATTTTATTAATTGTTACTTACTGTATAAATCTTCCTCTTGATGGAAATCTTCGGGTGAGTAGCTGCTGTACATCGACATGGTCATCGATTGCTCCTCRACTTGCTTTTGCAGCGCATCAATGCGTGCTTCATAGTTCTAAAATAAAAATAAAAATAAAAATATACTATTCTACTATTCAAATACAAACTATACTATTCAAATACAAATACAAGCTTGCTCCCATTACGCACCTTACGCTGCTCCTCRAACTGCTGATCGGCTTGCATCTTCTCACGCTTGTACTGCTCCTCTAAATTATCCAAACGCTTTTGCATTTCGGCCTTCAAATCTATGCCCTGCTTCTCCAACAATTCACATTGTGCGAAATTCCAGTCCACCTGCTGCGTGTCGCACTTCTCCGTCTCATTCTCGTTCTCTGCATTCTCAGTGATCTTATCGCGYAACTCACGCGCCTGCTCGGGATTGGTGAAGCGAAATACATGATTTTTACCGAGTATAACACGCGAGCCGGTCTTCAACACCTCCGGTTCGACTAATTTGCGACCATTCAAATAGACCAAAGCATCTTTGTGCGGTATGAGCGTAACGGTACTGCTACGATTTTCGAAAGTGCAATGCTCTTTCAATATATGCGAACCGGACAATTGTATATCTTGCGGCACATTGGCCTCGTGTGTGCCCAAACGCGTAATGCCGTCTTTAATGTAGTAGAGCAGACATTCCGATAAGTTTGGGTCTTCATTTAGATTGACCAAATGTGGTGTTTTCTTTGGTGAGAATACACCAACGGTATCACCATCCTCCTTGACAGCTACACCCATTTCAGCGAAGACCGCTTCGCGTTGCAGGCGTATCTCTTCGGTGCGTTTTAATTTCTCCTCCCAAGTCTCGTTGAGTTCTGTTGGAAAAGAGTACGAAAATAAATAGATACAGATACTTTTCAACTGAGCGTTATAAGGATTAATTAAAGGAATCCGATAAGAGGCGGWTTGATGTAAGAATTGCATCTGATTAGAAAACTGGCATATGGATTCGATGACTTAAACTGAGCCGATAGTGCCAACTTGAAGAACACTATCTTTACTAAATTCTTAATACAAGTTGCTTTACTAGACTAGTTGATCTTAGTAAAAAGCCTCTTATAGATACATACATATGTTATCGTAGTTCTTGCCAAGCTCGTCTGAAAGTAGAGAGCAAAAGTCTTTACATAGATGAGAGCGCGTTTTTACGGCAGCCTACGGAAACGGAACGTACTCGGTTTTCATCTGAACGAGGACTATTATCTCAGTAATAATTCCAAATAGTTTTTATGGTTTCAAAACAACAATAACAGCAGGTATGAATCTCCCTTCGAAGGTGTAAAATATTCTGAAAACACAGTCGATCGTAAAAAAATTTGCTAAAGAAAATCTTAATTCAATACTGATTAAATTATTTTGGGGAGCYTTTGAAGAATCCGTTAGCCAAAAGGCCGAAGAAAAATCATGTGCTGGTGTGGCCCGGAACCACATTATTATTGCTCTTCTGGAAGAGCGTGATCTCGAATAAAAAATTCCCAGAGCCCAATGGAAGCTCCGGCAATCGGATAATCCGGGTTCACCACCGTCATGCACGAAAGCCGGCTGGTACCAACGCCAAATCAAAATGAGCCAAGGGAGGGAAGATAAAGACAGGAAGCTAGACTGGTAGCGTTGGACAAGAAAGACATCTCGGTCAGGCCAAAGGCAAGGCATCATTAGAGCCTGTGATCCGAATATGCCTACGAAAGGTTGGTAATTTGTTAAGGTCTTCGAATCAGAATCTGACGTGAAAAACAAACGAAACACAATGCATATCCTGCTGCTATTAACAAAGTAATCCAACGAATATCTGACGAAAAGTGGGGGGAGATCAACCATGGATTCACGGTGGTGAGAATTATACCTACAAATATGACGCCAATGCTGCAGATAACCAGCTGAAKRTGATGAAAAAATTATGGAATACATTTTCCAAGAATTATTTTGTGAAGCTTTCTCCCGTTAGATAACGAACCTGAAGTTTTACAGTGACTGCTTAGTATGCTTAATATTTTGTTAATTTCTTATGCCACAAAAGCTTTTAGAATGTTCAGAGTCTGTTTTTGCTGTCACAGAAAACTTATCTAAAATACTCTTGCTTGACAATAGACATTGTTGAGTCTAATTGAGATACCTAACTAAATCACTTTACCTACAACATATTAAAGTTTCCTCAGAACGTACTGCAAAGAAGCCGCTTAAGGAAATTAATGTAATGGAAGTGGGTTCTAACCATCAAAGCTTTTAATACCATTTTCGCCTTAGTTATCGCTTATTCGTCACTCATTTACTTCACTTACCTGCAATCAATTTCTCGCTGGCCTGCAGCTGATCCACTGCCATTTCGGTAGTCGAACCGTTGCGATTGCGTGTCTTTGTTGGCGACTTAATTGTTCCGCTGCCCGATTTGGTCATTTCATCTTCTGTATAATGAAAGAAGATATTAGATTTCTTGTTTAGTTTTGGTTGTTATTTGACATTGATAAGCGCATATAGTACATATATATTTACAAATATTGCAGTAGGTATGTATTGAGAGGCGTGCAAAGCGAAAGAAGAATAATTCAAGTTTATCTGAGAAGATGGTATGTTTCTTTGTTAATTTGTGGATCTATGTACATAGGTGAACGTATCTTTATGTATGAGTGTTTTTATTGTATATATGTAAGGCATGTTTGTGTGGTAAATAAGCTATGAGTTTAAGAGACAATCATGAAAATGTGTTCATTTCCGGTTTACGTTTTAAAGTGGCGGAAGCGCAAAACAATTTCGAAAAAAGTGTTGAAAACACAATTATTTGTATATTTGTTCTGTACAAATACTAACTGCAGACGAGTACAATACATACAAATATATCGGACGTACAATTATTGCATAAGATATTCGTAGTATGGCTACACTGGCGGTCGTAAAAATGAGCACGGAGGAAAAGATCGTTACTAAATATATATCAAACATAATATGATTATATATAAATTTTTTTGAAATTTCAATATTTTTCTAAAAATAAATTATGAACGTTGCCACCTGTTAAAAAAACTTTTTATTTCAAAATGAGCTTGGAAGTAATATCCCTACGGACTATTAATCTATAATAATAAGATTATATTTTCATAATTTTTTAAATTCTAATACTTTTGTAAAGCAAGGCTTGAACGTTGCCACCTGTTTAATACTAATTTCAATATAAAATAATTTAAAATATTTAATAAGTTTAAAATCTTTGCATACCCAATGGGTATCAAGCTGAATATTGAGAAATGTTACAGCTAAATTTGTCAAGGGTTGCCACTTGAAAGAAATTAATATTAATCAATTTGCTAAAATAATGACAAATGATAATCACGCAAATATCTAATCGAAAATCTACATATAAAAATATTTACAATTGAACTTTATTTTGTGCAGGGTTGCCATYTATTTGATATTTGAAAAAATTTATTTTATGAAGTTAAAGAAATGGTCGGCAAAAATTTTACGCTGAATACTTATCGCGGGTGGTGACTGGAAATAGATGTCACAGTATGACGAAAATGGCGGGGACGGAAAGGAAAGTGCAGTGGGGAGGTATCTAGCCAAGGTCTGACTTCTCAGTTGGTTGTTCGTTGGTCCTCAACAGCATAACATGCAAACAAGAAGTCTTACTATGGTTACATGTATAAAAAAAGGTGCTGAATAAAGGTGTCTGCTGTTCGTGCCGGCGATCAACCCGGTTCTCGGCTTTCATACAGTCCACTCGCGAACGGAGCTTACGCATAACTAGCGTCCTTCGTAATATGAGAGCGTAATTAGGTAGCGGAGGCTAAGCGCAAGTGAACCAGTGTAATAATAATAAAGAAATAATTAAGAATTAAAGTAGTCCGTATCTCCCGAGAAAAAACCGAAGGAAACTAGTTGTCCCACAAAATAGCAGCATTCGCAACGAGCGCGAAAGTAGCCGGCTCATAGACAAAAGTTAAGCTTGGTCTCGGTGTAAAGGCTGGCACTAACCCTGTAGCTAGASCTAAGCTTCGYTCCAGGAAGGCAACAAYAGCTGCGGCAGCCGACAACAAAACTGCTAGCCAAAGTAAGGCTACAAAGAGATGACAAATGTGGAGCTGCCAGTGGTTCATCAGCCAAAGAATAGTCTATTTTTAAGGTCAGAAAGCTAGCGAAAGCCAGGTATGCGGAGAAGCGTCGTGCAATCGACCAGCTTAGAAGTTTACAAGTGCAATCGCCAACCAATCAGGAGCTTACAACTGAGCTCTAGAATTGTTTTGGTTGCGCGAACGCGATTCTACCAAATTGTAGGCTTCAACCGCCAGCAATAGCAGCCAACCGACAGAGGTCAGCTAAAAAGTATAAGCTGTCAGCCATAAGGCCAAAGAATAACGCCCTCTAAATCATTTGCGGATGTAGCCCGGAACCGCATTTTCATTGGTATTCTGGAAGTGTTAGATCCCAAAGGAAAAGAGCCAGAGCCCAATGGAAGTGGATGTTAACTGCACCAACAACCATGGCGCTGAAGGAACATTCGAGGACTCCACAGCAGAATCTGGCGTAGAGATCAAAACGGACACAATACAGATCCTGCTACTACTAACAAAGGAATACCTCGACAGTTTTGACGAAAAATTTTGAGAAGAGCAACAATGGATTTACGAAGGTGAGAATCATTACCTCAAGTCTGACGCCGATGCTGCAAACCACCGCCAGATAGTTGAAGTCGCGGAACGATTAATTTTTATCAGGTTTTTTTTTTTTTTTGGATATTTTAGTATGTATTTTCATATTTTCACATAATACTATAGTGTCACCATTTTTATGACCACCAGTGTACTTAAGTCTAAATTCGAGTATGTAAGTAATCGAAAATATTTCAATTCTGAGCACTGGAACGCAAAAGAAGCATGTCAAAAGTACTGTTATGTTGAGAGTACGAATACAGTTACACACATACACACAAGTAGATTGCAAAAAGTTTACTTTGGTTAACTTTAATATACGTTTATATCAAAAAATATATGTATTAAGTAGGCTTGGTTATATAAGTCGGCGTAGTTTACACATTAGCAAGCTTGAAAATCGCACAACAAATTTATAATGATATTAGATATTATTTGTACTCTTCAAATACGCACACACACATCCACACGCRTATTTGTATGCACACAAGCGGCTGCATTTATTGGGTATTGATTGGCATTTAAGCAGTTTTTGAGGTTAGTTTGTTAGCTGGCCATGTACAAATAGCTTGTGTTTGTTGTTGTAAATTAAGTATTACACTTTTTTTTTTGTTGCTAAAAGCGTGCATTGCGCAATAATTTCCAATTTCCATTGGCTGTGTGGGTGTATGTGCGTGCGTGTGTTAGCTTTTTTCGATTTCATTTGGACTAGCATGTATTTTTTTGTACACACATACATATGCATAATTAATGCTGTGGTTGCGGTTGCATAATAATTGCACTTAATTTGCGAATAGTAATTATATTTTCGTTTATTTTTCATATAAAATTGCAAAGCCTTGGCATAATTTGATTAAGGAAATTGCTAATTGCTGTTGGTATACTTTTTGTTTAGCAGTTCTACTTACTATTCGGATCGCGCTTCTCACAAACCACTTTACCATCGGGCCCTAAATGAAAATATGTATAGACTATATAGGCTCGTGTTGTTCGAATTTAATTTGSTTAAAGTTTAATTTAGTTATAAATCAGCCTTAAGTCAATTAAGTTCATAAAATTTCAATTGGAATATGAAAATGATTTATGTGCACAATTTTAATGATTTTTTGAGAATTATTTCGTTAGCATGAATTTTATGGTATACGATTTTGAATTTTTTTAGTGCGAAAAATTTAAAACTAAATTAAATTTTTTAATTTTTATTA